TACAGGAACTATTCGAGCCGTTCATGCCAGACTGGGGAGAGAGGTGTTGTAATAATGTAAAATATGTGAAAAATACAACCTAGTATGAGAGCCTGTTCTAGTACACCCCCAAAACAAAATCAAGACTTTGTAAAAGAGCATAATAGGGCCCCTTTAACCACATGTTGTTGATTTCCAGGCCCGCCCGATGACCCGATACCTGCCCATTCGCAAAGAGGAGTTTGACCTCCATTCCCACATCGAGTCTTCAGGTCACAGCGTGGACACGTGCTACCACGTGATTCTCACCGAAAAGATGTGCAAGGGCTATCTTGTCAAGATGGGAGGGAAGATCAAATCCTGGAGGAAGCGCTGGTTCGTCTTTGATCGCCTTAAAAGGACGTTTTCCTACTACGCCGGTATGTGTGCCGCAGCGTCGCCTTTCAACATCCTCCTTACTGTGCACTATGCTAATGCCGCTCCGCAAACGTGTCGTTATGCTTTCGTCGCCCTGAGGTTGGGGAAAGAAACGAGGGCAGAACAAAGAGTGGATTGTGGGTGAATCCAGCAGTGGGGGGATACGGATAATTAGTAATTCTTAAGCTCACAGTGGCTGCCATGATTTCCGATAGCCTCGGGTTAGCTAGGGGCATACAAATAACCAGAAGCCCGTCCGCATGCTGTCTGATGGTGATGAAATCTGCCGCAATGCTGAGGAAATCGTGCTCATCACCCAGCCGTGGCGCTCGGCAAAGCGGGAGCTCCCGCTCTTTATTTCTGCGCGGACTGAAAATGAAGGGGTTGCACCACAGTAACAAGGTCACATCGGTGCTTACCAGATCATTATTCTCCAGGGGAGTGGGGGATTATTTGTTTTCGGAACCATCGCTGTGCAAAACATTGTGCTAATCACTAGTTTTCCAGTAAAAAATACTTGGAAATGCTTGTTTTCGGAGAACACACTCGCTTTCGCTTCTCGAGTTAATTGGTTTTCAAACAAATACATCGCAATCAAATACTTATTAAGAGAACGGTTTTTCGCAGTGTGACATCTCTGTTTCTCCTGTCCGCAGATAAACATGAGAGCAAATTGAAGGGCGTCATCTACTTCCAGGCTATCGAGGAGGTTTACTATGATCACCTGCGCAGTGCCACAAAGGTACGATCGAATAAGAGCCCTTGGTATAAGCACAGCTCACATCTCCTGCTGTTTTTCTGCTCTGCGCTCCTGTTGCACCATTTCATTTGATCTTTAGCTTCTTTCTTCTCTTTTGTCTCTTATGCTGTATCTCTGCTGTAAGTGTTCCCCACCCTTCTTTTTCTTCATTCTTTTGCTTTGCCGACTGTTTTCACAGAAAGGATTTTTCAATATGAATTTGACAAACGTACGTATCGCTCTCCACCACTATCACCCTATCCTGCATGTTTGCTTAGAGGAAATTGTTCTAATTTGTGCATTTTTCACACACTTACTTCCTTGTGACTAATTAACATACCTTGTCTCGTATTGTTTTGAATAACTGGACTATTGGCACCTTCACTTAGTGTATATTTGTTTTTGTTTTTTTTTTGCAGTTACTGAGGATGAGAGTATAATGTAATTTACGACCTGTGTGTGTTTCTCTTAAGTGTTTCTTTACTACTCCCACCTGTGGTGTGTGTATAACGTAATAGCCCCACAGGAGCAGTTGTGTGGTGTATTGTACGCCATCAGCTTCACATTGTATAATGTAGTAGGTTAACGGGAAGCCGTAATATAATTGTCAGAATCATTTGAAGCGATTTGTATATCCATTGCATGAGTGGAGTGCTCTTTAATAATGAGTGTTTAGGTTAGGAGAAGTAATTAGCACATTTTAACAAGCACCTCCTGCTTTACATATGCAGCTGTATTAAAATTAGAGGTGCTAATAATTAATAATTTATTATTAATGAAGTGGTATGAGTTTTTATTAATCCACTTTAGCTCAAGAGAGCTAAAGAGGCTCATCTGGGAAATGAGTGCACGCTGTTGCTTGTGCTGCATGTGACGTAGGAGCTTATAAAACAGGTTCAAAGTAATCATGCACAATTATAATGATAGTGTGTTAAAGTGTAATGTGATAACAAGCTGTTAAATAAATTAAATAGGCTTATCAACATTTAAAAAAAGAGAAGAAAACACTGGCCATCTTTTTTTTTCTTTTTTTTTTTTTTGACATCAAAGTCAGTGTGTCCAATCAAACATTGCAGCATTTTCGTGCAAATTTATCTGTCACTTGATGGAAACAGGCAAAGTAGTATGTGCCAACATGAAAGTGATGAGACCTCATCCTTTAAAACCATGAGTAAAAGTAAATACGCCCCAGGCTACATTAAATGCAGGTTCACGTCCAACAAGGATAATTATGCTGACCACAATGTGTTTGTGAGGTGAATTATTGAATGCCGAGAGCATAAAGCCATTGAATTTAATACATATTTAGAAATATCTACATTACAAAAAACTTAAATTCAAAATCAAATCTAAAAATATTATATGAAACATTTGTGTTTATATTTTATAAAGTCTGTAATATTACATGAACCACATAATAAACCACATAATAGTAAATTATATTCAATGATACCGTTTGGATTCGTACTTAATATAAATGCATTAAAATACTTTCATTAAAATGAAATTTAAAAAAACAAAATAGCACATTTCTTATGTTTATTTATTATTAGCATATTATTACATTTAGATATTATATTTATTAAGATCAATAGCTGAGTATGTTTAATTATTTATTATTATTATTATTATATTTAGCATGATCACTTTAATTGTAGTTTGACTGTAGTTATTATAAATATGTATTATAAAGTATAAATATACATAAAACTAATATATTATACAATTATAAGTAAGACTATATTTAAAATTTTATTATAATGTCTTGCAAATTATATAATTCACACAATAAATTGTACAGGCAAAATTATTTTAGTTGCATTATCCATACACATTGACAACCCCTAATGGATGCATAGCAGCTAATGCATATGCCTTAATAACTGAGTAGTAGTAGGGATGTGCAAAAAAATCAAATGCGATTTTCATGCGCATCTCGTCAGTAAAGCCGCTTCTGTGATTAGTAGTAAATCTCCAGCATGTGCTTTCAGATGGAGCAGCGTTTACTACACAAAGCCGTAGTTCACTGACAAGCTACACAAAATCACGTTCATAATCGGCAATGAATCGCCTGCGATTTTGAACGCGATTTTGCGTAGCTTGTCAGTGAACTACGGAGAAGCGGCTGTACTGACGAGATACGCATGAAAATCGCATTCGATTTTTTGCACAGCCCTAAGTAATAGATAGACTCCATACGTGGCTCCCTCACTGATCTGATTGTCTTTTTGATCGCAGAGCCCCAACCCCTCCCTGACCTTCTGCGTGAAGACGCACGACAGACTGTATTACATGGTGGCCCCGTCTGCAGAGGCCATGAGGATATGGATGGATGTGATAGTAACAGGAGCCGAGGGCTACACGCAGTTCATGAACTGAGACAAAACCCACCGCTCAAAATGGAAACCGTTCGGCAGGGAGACTTCAGATGACCCAGACCTGTTATTCCCAATGAGAGGAAAAACTTTATTTTGTTACTTCCTTTTTTCTTCTTCTTCTTCTCGTGTTTCCTGGAGATGTTATATATTCACTCAGATGCACAGACAGATATCCACCAGAGGCTTTCCATGTCTGCCTGGATTGAAAAAGGGAGAAGACGAAAAGACCCGGTGAACCAAACCTGCAGGTGGTGGCTCACTCACCATCAACGAAAATGCCTTTTTGCCATCAGAGATATTTTTTAGTTGCAGTTTATCTTGTCTGGATGTGCAGAAACTTGACTTTCATTTCAGTTTGTCCCACGATTTTTCTTTTCAAACATAATGGGAAAAATGCCAAATGCCATCAAGCCATTCTGGAATAGTGTTGCGTTAAATATTTGATGGGATCGACCGACACGAAATGATGAGAGAATATAAATTAACTGCAGTACATTTAAATGATGTTTTAAATTAAATGGAGTATTACATTCACATTTAAAGATCCGGTATCACAAAAACAAAGACTTGATTCACCAAAGCTTACCAACCAGCTCAGGAGTCTGTATTTATTGTAGAGGGACATCAGCGACTCCTGTCCAAGTGTATCCCACTGCGTCTCTGTGTTCCCAGCTCATTCTTTTAGATACAGAACCACAAACGCATGCACACACACACATACCACGTACAACAGTAGAGTCTATTTGCCAAGTCCTGACAACTTGATCTTGAGATTTGACTCCCAAGGGAGGCAGCCATCACCTATCACTGCCAGCCTACGAGAGTTTGGAATAATTGCCACAAACAGGAGAAAAAGAAACAACATCATAATCATGCAAGTCATACAGTGCCTTGATACTGACCCATATTTGTCACTCTTAGTATCTGAATTGTTACACTAGTGAAAAACAGCTGGAATCACAGTCGTAAGGTGCGGTCACATTAGCAGAATTTTGAGGGTCATAAAGGTCCTTTATCAATTGTTTTGAGATGTATGAAGTACAGCTCACACAGAAGTCAAAACAAGCAACTCTGTAAATTCGTGTGATCAACTTGAAGCGGTTTTGAAATCTGCTTTGAAATCATGCAAAATGCAGGTTGCATGGATGCCTATTGAAATTCGCCTGCGAAAATTCACTGAACAACAGTAAATTAGCAAACATTTTGTGAAAATACATAGGCAAAAAATGTCAATTGTTTACTGTCAGTAGTGTAGCGGTGCATGAACTACAGCTTACACAGAAGTCACGTTCAAAACAAGCAAGTTTTCCAGCTTTCTGTTGGTCAACGCAGTGAATTCGCGTGACGGATTTGAAAATCGGTTTAGAAATCGCTTTCACCATCATGCAAAATTCCAGATTGCAAGGATGCCTATTGAAATTCGCCTGAATTTCGCTTGCAAAAAATTCACTAAACAACAGTAAATTTGTGAAAATTTTGTAAAAAATTACGTAAGCAAAAAAAAAAAAAACTAAATAAATTGTCTACAGTCAGTAATGTAGTGATGCATGAGGTACAGCTCACACAGAAGTTACATTCAAAACAAGCAAGTTTTCCGGCTTTCTGTTGCTCAGCGCAGTGAATTATCCGACTTGAATCAGTTCTGAAATCTGCATTGAGAAACCTTTCACCATCATGCAAAATTCCCAATTACAGTGATGCTTATTGAAATTCATCTGCGGAAATTCACTGACCAACGGTAAGTTAGCAAAACAATTGTAAAAATTACGTAGGCAAAAAATTACAATTGTTTGCTGTCAATAGTGTAGTGTGCATAAAGTACAGCTCACACAGAAGTCACTTTCAAACCAAGCAGCTTTATGTTGGTTGAATTCACGTGACCATCTGAACCTTTGGCGAAATCTGCATAGAGAAATCTTTCGTCGTCACTCGATATACATGGATGCCTATTAAATTGACTGGATTTTGCCTGCAAAAACTGGCTAAACATCAGTAAATTAGCAAAACAGCAGCAATATTTCTCAAGCCAAAAGAGGTCAAACCAAGCAACTTTATGTTGGCTGAACTCGTGTGACCAGCTGAACCTGTTGCGAAATTTGTGTGGGGAAATCTTTTGCAGTCACATGAAATTCCAGATCGTGTGGAAATCTAATTGAATTTGATTTACATTTCACCTGCAAAAATTCATAAAGCAACTATAAATGTGACCGCACCTTTATTCCATGTGATACATCGTGGGTTTTACTGTTTTAAGAGATTGTGAACAGACACTAATTTAAAAAAAAGGTGACCTATTTAAATCAGTCCGATACGGCTTTAATACAATTTAGGGGGCTATTTAAATGGTTTAGTAGCTCTTCAAGTATTATTGATGTTTTACAAGCAGGCTATTAACTAGTCTGTTCCACCTTGTGTTAGTTTGGGGAAAATAAAATGTTTATTTATGGTTAGCGATGTTACAGCGACGACACTGTTAAAAAAAGACCAACATTTTCTGCTTTCTCCCGAAACCAATCTGTATGTTGAAATGAAATCTACAGAGAATTGAAATAAACATGAATAATTAGTCTTCATTTTGCGTGTAAGATGTCTTGAGTACTATCACAGAACTAGGTGAAAACAGTGTTGTAAAATGTTGAACATGAATACATTCACAGTTTTCCTTATTTATGGTATTTTTGTGTTTATTTGCCTAATTATGATCCATGCTAACACATAAAACACGCACTTGCGGAGAAGACTGTAGCCCAGAGGTCACAACTAAACTCGGACTTCAGATGTAAAAGGGCAAGTAACCTTCACTGCTGTAATTAACACTGCAATGCAAGCAGAAGTCTTGCATCATAGCTACTGTGTTGTTTTCATGACACCAGACAAGAGAGCAGCATGCTAAATTAAAAACCTACTGCTAAGATGTGCTATGATAAGGTTAACCCAAGAAAGTTTGTAGACCAAGTTTATTTTGATTGGACAACACCCTAGTTAAACAGTTTCATAAATTAACCTTGAAATCAATCACTTTAGAAGTACAATATGCTGCTGGCAGTGTGTGAAAATACTCGGTATTTTCATAGTTAAAATATGTCATGCTTACACTTAAATTTAGTTATCTTGGTCATTTTCAGGGTCTCGGCAGGTTTTATGAAAGTAAATGCAGACGTTTAAATTTCCTTAAATCAAGATACATTTACTTTAGAAGGAAAATTACATATGAAGTCTTGTTTTCTGAGAAGACTTCGAAGTGAGTTTGTGACTAAAATAAGAACAAACAGAAAAATGAACTTAGTTGAAAGAGAAAATGTGTTTTAATACATGTCAGATATTTGTTCTTGTTTTAAGCATAAACTCATTTGATTGTTTTAAATTTCGTAGACAATATCTAATATATGTATTTTGATTTAAGGATGTTTAGATCTGTATTGGAAAACATACTCATTCTCATCTTTTTTCCAGTGCATGCAACATTTAATGCCATGGTTTTATGAATTTAAGACTTTTTAAGATCTGCAGAAACCTTGTCTTTTGGACTCCAGATGAACAAAATAAAATGATACATTTAGTATTGGTTCCCTTGGCTTAGTTCACTGTCAAAAGACATAAGGATCACAACCTGATTAGGCAGATTTTACTATGCATATTTTGCGCATTTACTGAAAATCCAAAACAATGCTGTGTGCTGGGTTGTGTGTAGGCTACACTGTAAAAAAAAATCAGTAAAATTTACGGTAAAAAATATGGTAGTAACGTTTTACGGTTTTAACTTAAATTTACAGTTAAATACCATAATTTCATTAACTGAAATAATGTTAATATACCAACCTATTGAAGTACTGAAATCTGTTGTGTACCTTTGTAATACACTGATAACCACCAAATGCAGGTGGTGATGAGAAAGTCACATGATGAACCAAAGCCCATCACAAGCAGCTTTTAAATAATAGCATATATAGAAGGTGCACAGTGTCATTCACACAAACACCAAACACCATCATGGTAACACACATGAAACTGAAATAATGCAATAAACATTAATTTAACAACATTAGGTGTAACACGCAACCCTAATATAGAAAACTGATGAGAAAAAACTAAGAAGAAACAGTTATTTCAACAAAAAAAAACATCAAATTTGAAATGTAACGCAGGGAATTCTGGGAATGTCAATTTACGGTTATTCACTGAAAATTATAGTCTTTTTCCACTTCCAAAAACGGTATACTAAAGTAAAATTAATGTCCAATACATGTAATGTCCAATACAGTTTTTCAGGTGGTTAAAACTTAAAAATAGCTTAAAACTCACAAATACCTTTTAAAATGTATAAAGGAGTCAAAACAGAAACAGGATTTCCTCCTGCACACACGGATATCGTCTCGAACTGTAGGCTAATTGGCAAGATGGCTACTACGAAGAGAAGAACAAGGTATGTTTGAGCATTTCGTCTTTTTTAGGATCGCATCTTGTGACATCACGTCCTGTTTTTTGGTTCGTTTAGATGTCTTTGGTTCACACTGCGTTTATAGTCTGCTTGTTTGATGCGCACCAAGGTTCGGAAGGCAGCGTTCACACTTAAGCCAGAACTAGGCCTGTATGCAAAATGCTTGATTTAGCTTTGACTCTGCCCCAGAACATCATATCTTACATATTACCAAAAAATAAACAAAAGAAATAAAAAAAAAGCTATTTTTGCGCACCTAGCCACTAACAAATGCAGTAACTGTTAACTTGCTGTTACATTTTGTCTTGGAATATATGATCATTTTAACACTACATATGGGAAAACTGCCTTTCAAATAGTGGTTATTACTAAATATGGAGCCATTTGCTGTAAGGCAGCCCTAAAAACAATTTCAAAGATATATTTTGACTTGGACTTTATTATGATTTTAACACTAAATATGGGAAAACTGCCTTTCAGATCATATCACTAAATATGCAGCCATTTTCTGCAAGGCGGCCCTAAAAAAATGCAATCTCTTTGAGAAGTTAGTGAGTATCAGTTCAGTCTTTGAGCAATATGTAGGCAATACATACTGAACTGTTTGGGGTATACTGTACACTTTAGTCTCTCTGAAGTGAGTTGTTTGCTGATGCAATTTGTTGGGATTGTTTACTGAAATTATTTGGTAATTCCTGGAACGCTGTGAAACTGACACCGCTTTAGTGGGCAGCAGTAGGAGAATATTCTCAATTAGCATTCTAACATGATATTACTGAAGTTAACAGGCATTTTAAAAGATGATTTATTTTTGCTAAGCATAGATCTCAAGCATCTGAGTGGTTTGGAAAACCACAGTTTTTGACTGTGCTACTTTTAAGCACTCAAGGGGGAAACAGTATACAGATATTATTGGGTGTTACAACAGAAAACAAAACGTCTGAAAGCAGCGTTCATGTGTTGGCGATAAAATCTTGTTTAAAACAAGTTACTAAACCAGTAGAAGAGCTGAACTAATCCACACCAACATCTATCAGTTCTATTTCTATTAAAATATAAAGTGATTTGACGTAATATTGTAAACATTTGCAATTGGTAGATGTGTGCTTTTTTTTCTTTTTCTAAATATATAATTGGGTTGGGAAAGATTTAAAACTTGAAATAGGATTTAATATTTGCACTAATAATATATAGCTTATTCTTTTACGATCCAGATATTTGCATGTAAAGTAATAATAAAGATAATAAATAATCACAGGACACAAATGTTTCTGATGCAGAAGTTGACTAATTGTATAGCAACTAAAATGCATAATGCAGAAATGCATTATTTTTTATTTAAGAAAAACTATAAGATTTTATTAGAAGAAAGTGATGGAAGAACAGAAAATGTGTCAGTTTTAAATCTGCCTTGCCATATATTCCAGTGTATAATTCTTCAACCATTAGCACTTCAGATCATCGCCTGGAGAAAAAAAGGTCAATCAACCTTTTATCAAGCAATATAACATATCTATTGATATCATGATATTACATATGTGTCCTTTAGCTATCATTCAATATGCTGATTTGGTGCTAAAGAATAAAATCTAATTATTATAAATTTTGAAAACAATGTTGTTGTTTTTTTTCAGGATTCTTTTATGAATAGAAATTTCAAAAGAACATTTGAAATAGTTTTTTTTTTTATAACATGTAAATGTCTATGGATTTGGGAGTTCAAATTTAAGAGTAGGCTACAATTATTAAAATATACTAATGGAGCTTTAGATAAAATGTATTTATTTAAAAATGTGTTACTTACCGTAATGTTTATGCACATGGGGCGGTGTAGTCAATCACAGACAATTCACCTGGAGGAATAGAAACACAGCCTGTTTTTTTTTTGTGTGCTGCATTGTTGAGCTTGTCTCAATAAAATGAAAATGCATTATGGTAAGATTAAATACAGGCTCGTAAAGCATAATTAAGCAATGCTTAGCTATATCATGATGTCACTAAGATTTATAAAAATGAAACTCTTAAACATCACTGTTTCCCCTGCCATATTAGGAGGGCGCGGACGGAATCGCGGAATCCACTCATAAAAACGGAATTTTCTGTAGGCCTATAACGCGGAATGTCACGGAATTTGTCAAACTTTAAATGAATTAATCAAAAGTAGGTGATTAGACTTAAAATATGGACTAGTATCTGTAAATATTAAGCCACAAAAAGACTATTTAAACATGAATCCTGCATGTTCTGCGTGTGTCTGTATGAATGAATGGCGCAGACGCCGGTTTAGTTTACTACACACACAGTGAAGCGTGTGACGCTCGCGGTGATTTCAGCGTCGTCTCACTAAATGAGGACATAAATACATGAACAACATCTCCAAGACTGCTCTGAGAGTCACTTCATTAGCATTTTACCGTTTCATTTGAGTAAAACTAGCCTCATATCACACAGAAATTTAAAGGTATTCACGGCAACCCATCAAAATAAAAGTTCGGTTTAACTTGAAGACACTGTGCCAGAGATATTGTTCAGTAGAATGTAGGCTGCATAATACTACTAATACTATTAGTACTACTACTAAAGTTATTAAAACTTGAATTTTTAAGGAATAATCACACAACATTTCTTCCATGTTTTATTGTTAATAGTAAATCCCCTTTGTTTGCCAAAAAAGTAAAGTTTGATTAATTTTCAATAATTAAAAGATAAATGAATGTATTATGCCTTCATTTGATAACCAGAAAAATTTAAATACACAACACAGAATTTGTGGGAAAAAAAAACATTTCATATGGCTATTTTAAGAATACATTTGAATAAATTAAGTTGTTTTTATGCATTCAAATGATTAGACATGCTAAAACAGAGAATTTGGTAACAATAAAAACATATGGTGAGAAAAAGTAAAGCATTTCATAGAGCCCTAAGCATGTAGTTTTTTTTTTTTTTTTTACTTTTAATAAACTGATGTGAAATTGTATAAGTATCATGATTTTAATTAATTAGACATGCTTTTTTATTAATAAAATTTAATGTAACCTTTAAAAATGAGTCCAGAAAAATTTAAACGGAAAAAAACAGAATTTGGAAAAAAACAACACGAAATTTGGGAAAAATAAAACGGATTTCATAGGG